ACACACACACACACACTCTGGTCTCCCTCAGTGGTCTGACTGCACTCCCATATGTGCTTCCCCCATGTGTTTAAGGCCAGTAGGAATGGAAGAGCAGACGTTTGAGGCAGGAAGCACGCTCAGGCATGTGTTCCTAGGAGAGGAGGAGGCAAACAGAGGAATATTCAGCACGTTAGTTCACTTTAAACCTGGACTTTGAAAAAGCTTTTCCACAATTTACATGACGTTTTGCTGACTTGAGGTCATATGACGGAACTAATCTGAGATAAGCATTAGGAAATGTTCACCATGGAACTGAAACAGCAAGGTCTGAGACCTGATCAATTATTTCATCTGTTGAAATAGAAAGGTCAAATATTCTCTATTCCCAGCTCCTCAAATGTGAAGATTTGCTGTCAACAAGCTGTCAACTTGAGCTCTGTGAAATCATACAGGCCATTTTTTTTTTCTATTTCTAACATGAGTTCACTAACTTCAAACTGATTTAGCCTGTTAACTAGGGCGGCAACTTACAGTTAAGACAATTACAGAAAGATTCCACAAGTTTTGCCAACAAATCTAGCACAGAGTTTAGGGCTGCAACCAACAGATATTCAAATTGCTTCTTTTGTTCACTCAACATTCCAGAAACTAAATTATTTTCAGTTATATAAAATGTAAGTAGAACATCTTTAGTTTTGACTAAACTAGTGAATGTTTGGAGTCTGTTAACTGACTACTTTCTGGTTTCAACTGTTGCCATGTGTGAAATGGAGATGGCAATACATAACTATCTCAAAAAGTGTACGTTTAGAGATAAATATTGGATCTAGTTAAGGGCACAGTCTCCAGTGTCTTCGTTACCTTTCTCGCTCGCCTCGCCCTGCTTTTCCTGGGCAAAGTTGAGGCGGTTCTGCTCTGCAGCCGTCTGTGCAGCCGTGTTGACCTCTGGGCTGCTGCTCCGTGAAGGGCCTCCTTCATCTGCCTGGTAGGCCAGGTCCAGGTGCTGCTGGGCCAACTTCAGGTGCCTCCTCAACCGCTCCAGCTCCTTGGACGACGGCCCCTCGTCCCCGAAGCTCTCCCGCCCGGAGTCGGCCATTGGCGAGTCCCTCAGCTCTCCTTTCAGTTTCTCCTTTTTCATGGTGGCGTGATATCCCGGCGGAGCTGTGGGCATGGCGCGTGAGGAGGATGGACGGGAGGCACGTGAGCCGAGGGTGGCCCGCTTGCGGAAGGTGTCGCGGATACCACCGACCCCCAAATGGATGATCTCGAAGACGGTGAGGAGCAGGCAGAGGAAAGACACCACGTACATGACCAGCAGGAAGATGGTCTTCTCCGTGGGGCGGGACACAAAGCAGTCCACAGTGTGCGGGCATGGCGAGCGAGTGCAGACGTAGGACGGTATCACCTCGAAGCCGTAGAGGGCGTACTGGCCAAAAAGGAAGGCAACCTCAAAGGCAGAGCGCCACAGAAGCTGGCACACGTACACTTTCATCAGGCCGTCACGCAGGATTCGCCGGCGACCGTCATGCTTCTTCTCTGAGCCTTTGAAAACAAAGACACGGGTTAGAATCTGATTTAATTAGCGCCGCACGGCGGTAAAACCTGCTCTGTGATTGCTGCTCAAACCTCCACCTTACTTTTTTCTGCTTTGTCGGGCTTGTCTTGTTCAATCTCTTCAGCGATCATGGGGTCTTCCTCTCCGTTGTCCTCCGCCTCCTCGTAGTCTCGAACTGCGCCACGGCTGACGATGGGCATCCTCTTCTTCTGGTTCCGGACGGGCCGATACTCGCTGTCTTCCATGCGGGCGATCTTGTGCATGGCAAAGCCCAGGTACATAATGGTCGGAGTGGTGATCAAGATCACCTGAACACAAAACAAAAACACGTGCGTGTTGGACAAACACAGCCACTCTTCACCATTCAGACGCAGAATATTGTTGAGACCGTCACTGTAGACTGAAATGTGATATGCAGCTCACCTGGAAGATCCAGAATCGTACGTGAGAGAGCGGCGCAAACGCGTCGTAGCACACGTTCTCACACCCAGGCTGTTGCGTGTTGCACACAAATTTACTCTGTTCATCGTAGTAGATGGTCTCACCGCCGACGGCTGTCAGCACAATGCGGAAGATGATGAGCACCGTCAACCAGATCTTCCCCACGAAGGTGGAGTGGTTGGAGATCTCATCCAGCAGACGAGTTAGGAAGCTCCAACTCATGGTGACGAGGTGACCGGGGAGCTAAAGACGCTCTGGAGGAAGAGAACAGAGACAACACTGACACTCACATACTTCAATACTACAAGTTTTATTGTTTGGAATTCTGCATTGCATTCTCTTTTCTATAGAGAAGAAAAAAAACAAACAAATGCTAACAAAACAAACAAGATTTGTAGGCCCCAGAATCTGTGCAGAACTACAGTACTTCATTAGAACGCTGTTCAGTCAAACATTTGGCTGGATATTGCACTTGGCCATATTGCGATTTCAATAATATTGCTATTAGGTCTGCAGACCTATTACACAGCCAAAGCTTGAAATGAAGCTGAAGTAATTTGTTGATTCAAGGATTAGTCAGCCAAAATGAAGTTATTAGCAACTATTTTTAACGCTTCAGCCTCTCATGTGAACATTTGCTGGTTTTGGATATTAAAAACACAACAACCGATCGATTGAGTAAATATTATTGGACAACGAAAATAGACCGTCAACGACCTTTAAAAGCCTCCAAGCGTTCCTCATTGGATTAATACAAAGTGTCCACTCCACTACCAGGTTCACACATCCACACAGTGATTAAAAGAATGCAAGAACAAATACTGCATGCAAGTATTATAGGTAGACCTCAACCGCAGGGCGAAGACATAAACACAGCCACATGTTTTGTTTTAATCAGACACAGATCTCAGAGACACGCGGGTATCCATGCGTCAACGACACAACAAAGTGTGAACCAGTCCTGTTGGTCGGAGCGCTGGCCCTGGTAAACCTCCGTTCTTCCAGCTCCCTGCAATGCCAAGCTCCAGCTGCTTAATCAAACATCAAAGTGGCGGCTGGCAAGTCGCAGCTAGCTGTGAGCAGACCTGCTGGGGCTTTGGACTGCAGGAATTCTAATACTCAAGCAGTGAATGGGCTTAGGAATTCGTTTCCTGCCACAGTGCCAGAAGTTATCCCTTTAAAATTCTTTAAAACCACAATTTGATAACTTAACATGGCCGAGACATAAAGGAGAGAACAGAGCTGGGGCTTTTTCACTTCAGTACCCATTAGACTGCTAAAGTGGATCACTGAATCTACAGAGGAGCTTTCGGAGGATAACTGGAAACAGAATTCAGACTTTGTGTCGTAGTTTGGATAACTTTTCAAGACAAGATTCTAAGGTTTGCTTCTCCAGAACTAGCTGAAAAGTTTGCCTCGAAGCCTCCCTGAGCCCCGAAATGATATGTTACATCAAATCCAGCACCCAATCTGAATAACAAACCGAGCTAAACGAACTAAAGTCTCAGAATCTTTATCAGGACTCTTTGGAGCTACCTTCTCTACTTTTATGTGTCAGGAAAACAGGGTGTAGCTAAGAAAATAACCAGAATTTCATGACTCATTGCAACAGGACAAGACTCAAGCCATTCCCAGTATCTTTAGGCATGTCTCTTCAGATTAGTGCACTACACTCAGGCCCTCCCTCGCCAGCTTACTCATCCATTCCTTTGCGAAATCCTTTCCCCAAACTGGCACCTTCAGATGGTTACAAATGGTGAGACAGACTTGCCTGAGCCTGATCAGAAAGAATGCTTTTGGTACTGACCACCAGAGTAAGGAAAACAGGCTACAAGTTGGCCTGTCTTGTCTGGAGCCAAGTGAAATTATGGGCTTCTCAGATATAACAGCGAGTCAGAAAAGTTTCCTTCATAAAACCTAGGACTCAAAATCACACAGGAGACACTCACACGCTGCAGGGACATCACACCATTACCTCTAGAAGCCATGTTGATTCTCAGTGGTGGGAAATAGTCGTTTGAAGAAGCATTAAACTTTGTGACCCTGAAATAAAGTCTGAGACAGGAACACGTACAGCTGCGAGGTGACGGCTGTTTTAACATGCAATTAAAAACCCCACCTAAAATGGCTAAAGTGCTTCAGTACAGGTGTATGGCCCTTCTGACACCGAGCCTTACACACTCGAATACGCATGTGTTCTTACAAAGAGGCGGACTGTCCCTTTAAACATCACCTGTCCCACCTCGTCTGCTCTTCCTGCACTGACACTCTGGTGATCTGATATTCAGCCGTCTCCGGTTCAAACTGGGCTTTGGAGGACACGAACCCGGTACGCAAAAAAAATAAAAAATAAAAACAGAACATTGCGCCACTGACCAAAAGCATCTTGGGAGAAATGAAAGGCGTTACCATCGTGAATCCACAGCGGCCTGACCACTAATGGACATCTAATATCAGGATAATCAAAGAACACTTGGAAAACAAGCTCAACGGCCAAAACAAGACACTTGAAATTTGACCTCCAAGCCGGGCCTACCTCTGTTTGTGCCAGTTTATCAACCTTTACACAGACTTATCACTACACTCGAGTCACCTGCGCAACACAGAGACGCCTGGAAACTTCACATTCCGGTCAAACACTGTCCATAAAGTGCCAAAGAAGTCAGTCAAACGTCCACATCGCCAGTATATTTGAATATTGCTCACACGGTGTAATTGAAGTCATCTAATGCTCTTATCTTGACACCAATGGGGTCAAAGAGGGGTTTGGATTCTTAGCTGTTGTTCACGGCACAGCAGGTGTCACTTTTATTCCATTTACTCCTTCCAGCACCTCCTGTTGAAGCCCTGTTCAATACCCTCCCCCTGTGCACAAACACGCAGGTATCCCATCACCAAACAATCTATTGAACTAAGGTCTCCGAGCTGGAGCGAAGGCAAACATTTTCGCCGTGCCACCCGCCCCAAAGCTAACCAAAGTCAGCCTTTAAACAGTAGCTTATTTGCTCATGTGGGCTAAACCCAGCTCAACTGATTTAATGGCTTTTCTGCTTCAGGAGTCACTCAGGAGGAGATGGAGGGAGGGTGGGGTGGGTTGCAGAGTTTTTTGGGCAAAGGATCTGGACAAAGCGAAGGCGAGTTAACATTCCTGCCTAACCAAAAGCAGAAAGCTGGATTTTTAGGGTTCAGGGAGCAGACAGAGGGCACATGAAATCCCCATGAAGTCCAAGCTGCCAAGACAGGAATACAGCACCTACAAACGTCAATCACCGCTCTCCCTCTGGGGTGTCACTGTGAACACACACACACACACAAAAAAAACCACACTGTTTCTGACTTGGCACAGACAATTCAAGAGACAGATCTCCTTTTCCAGTTTCAAATAAACAGTCAAAAAAAGTTTTTAAAGGATCCTCGGCTATGAACACGCTTTGCTGAGTCAGACTGAATTGTTTTGGAAATTGTGGCATTCCTGGAGGAAAACAAAGTGCTGCCAAACTTCAGTGGGGAAGCAAAAAATAATACCGAAAAAATAAGCCACTGACTTAGAAGATGAAGCCATCATTTCAAAGAGACAGAGACACTATTAGTTTGGAAAGTTAAAACCACTATTAGCAGGAGAATTACTCACTAAAAAAACAAAGGAAAATCACTGTAATGCTTACAGTCTGGTGGGTGAGTGGATTTAGCGACTCACGATGTGGCAGTTGTTTCTCCTGTGGTGTTAAAAAAC